AATAATCTTATGAAATTTACGCGCCACATGATTCAATTATTCATCTTCCAGCATTTAGGGCTTTTTATTATATTTTTAACGTAATTAACCGGTTCTACCGGGAGTGTTCCGGCAAACTTCCCAAATTTATGAGTAAGAAAAGAAATGAAGCGTTATTTTGCTTTGTTCTGAATTACAAGACAAAACAGTTTCCCTTTTGAAATAATGGCTAAAGTTTTTATTGGTGAAAATACAAGAAGTTTTTATATAGCAGTTTGTTTCTCTCATAATTATAACTTTGTGAAGTTCCAAATAGATCGGCTCAATCAGCAAATTCGAGCGAAATTTGATACATCTGTGGTTCATAGTGTTGACTGATTAATCGATTTAAATTTGGAATTTAAATATCGCTAAGTTTAAGGAAAAAAACAGTCTTGCTTCTGCTGTTGGCTAATCGCAAAAGTGATTAAGTTATTCATTAATCAAAAAGAAAAGAATGTGATAATAAAGGCGGGCTAGGCTGAAACACTGGAGGCATTTGCGCGAAAAGTTGGGAAATATTTTTCTTTCTTTATGCCGATACAGTTTGCTTAATAGCGCCTTTGCTAATTAAAAAAGATGTTCCGCTTGTCATAAACACTGCGAACAAAAACTGAATAAATTTTCCGAGCTTCGTTTTAATACTCAGACATTTTATCTTTATGTTCTCAAAAGTTTCCATATTTCGTTAATTAATTTATTACGGTTTGAATTGTATCAACGTGTAGAGTAGTTGTTAGATTTGGTGAAACATTTACCTGCTACTTAAGTCGTCTGTCTTAAGTCAACAGAATTTTAATTTTAGCGGATATTTTAATCCTCTAACGCCATTCCGGCTTTTCCTTAGACGCACTTAATCCTTTGGAAACTATCTTAGTAGGATATAGACCTTAAAAATTGATATGTCTTGAATGTGACGCTACTGATATCCAAACTAGCTTACATATGAGTTATGTTTAAGCTTATGCACACACAGTCGCGGTTCTCTCTGGGTTTTGTTTCGCGCTACCGCAACTAATGAGGTTTATCCTTAAGGATGAACGTGGATTAATGGGAGATTTGCAGAGATGTAATGAGGAAAAGCCGGAATTGTTAAGATGTACTTTGGTGCTGATGTAAGCTTCTCAGGAATTAGTGTTTCTCCATATTAGTTTTGCTGAAAGAGCGAAAGTTGGCCATCATACCAGCGAGAAGGGTCTAGAGGTAGTTATAATGCAACAATGGATTATGGGCATCGGTAATTAATTCGTGGATAAATAATTCATTCAGAACTAGATGTAAATAATGTAGCAGCTGCTCATAGCCTCGACGTTGTTCCACCTCGTTATATCAGTGGAAATATTAATTTTTGATAAACCAGAATGCAGTGCATAATTTTACCGTTTAAAATTTAAACTAGGTCGCAGTCAGTCTACAAAGCATATTTAATAACAATATAATTTCAAAATAATTTTTGAATGCTGTTTTATTCACAACATGTTTTTGGTTTCAGGTGAGCCATTTTGGACGGCTATTTTCACCATTAGCGCTGCAGTATGAAAAAACGTAGGTATAAGGACTTAAATTAAACGACGATTAAATAAGGAAACGAGGAAAACTAAGGTAAGATCTGTGGTTGATCTAAAGCGTTAACGTATGTTGCATGTTCATATCACTGAAGTTAGACGAATATTAAAACAAAATTATGTTTTTATATTATATTATTTAGTTATGAGGCTTCTAAGTCAAATCATACGTTTATTAAATTTGCTCAATTCGAATTTGATAGCCGACGATGTTTTCCAGTCAGAAAATGTGAGCTTATGAATATTTGATTAGTTAATAAAAAAGTGTTTATGCTTAGTTTTTCTTGCAAAATTTGCCTTATGGTGTCTTGACAGTAAATAAATCTAATACTTTTCATGCACGTACTTCTTAATTCACACTGTTAATTTGTTGCTCACATTTTCACGTTGT